TTCATCTCCCAGTCAAGAAAGTTGGTCCCGGATAACTTGTTGTTTTCCAGGATGTAACGCAGGTTGAAAGGGTTGTTGTTGTTTGCCATCTACAGAAAATTTTGCAAACTAGGTTATCTATCATGTTTAATAATTAATTAGGCCTTTAATTAATTATCTCCCACTATTTTTAACAAATCAATAACCCTCGATATTGATTCGGAGATTTCCGGCGAAACCTCTAGTGGGCCAAGATCCATATTTCATTATCTTGCGTTCCGCTTGGGCGTTACTCCACAAGACAACTATTTAGGTAGGAACATAGTTCCAACTGATGAGCCGGGCTCTCAGCTCTTGGTCTGGTGTTGGGCGAACAATATTACTACAATCGGACCAGGACACCTTTTCACCATACTTGTAATTGGCTGAGGCACGTCTTACAAGCAGACTACTTTGGTTAGGAACAGAGTTCCAATTAAATCATAAAGATCCAACTCCTGGCTGGATGAGCGAGTAAAATCATCCAACTTGTCATTGATGACCCCAACTTATTGCCTCTGAGTCGTCCATCCATTTGACTGAGACTCAGTTAAGTCTAACCCAACGTGCAACAGCGACCACGCTATGGCGATTCCCGTAACGAGCTTAACATACACCGTACTATGCTCTGCTGAGGCTGAGTACATGACAGTGCACATTAGCCGGATAGGTGTCGGGCGTCAGAAGGCAACAGACTTAATATTCGTGAGGGATTTATAATTTCGATCTCACCTATCGACATGGCCGCGCACATGTCCATTACTAGCGTTCAACATACATTCAACATGCATTCACAAAACGCAGTAAATAAACGTGTAATGATTGTGGCCCCTAAAAGAAAAATAAAACGATAGCTCCCACTGGCTTCCGAGCACTTGGACTTTGGGCTATCTTCATTCTTTTAGATTTCTTCAAACGGTCTTCAAATCTTTTCGTCTTCTAACCACAACGTGAGAAAAGAATCCTCGATTGAGGTAAGAGAGAGAGAAATAGATTTACAACAAGAGTTTATGAGATAAGGCACGACACGCAAAATAAAAATTCTCAGAAATATATTTTGATTATGTCAAAATTCTAGTTTTGACAGTCTCATTCCAAAATCGCAAGAAAACCATCCAAAGTTTCTAAGTCTTAAGCTCAAAAACACAGCATCCACTTTAAGGTAAAAACTGAAATTTTCCATCCATATTCTTGAAATACTTTCTGAACCAAATTTGTAGCCCCGGACGATACAAATCCAGCCCAACAAATGGCTCGCGATTTTGTTAAGTAACGAAGAAAATATGGCCAAAATACCGGGACTGCGCCAGTGGTGGCGAGCTCCTCGGGTTGGACCATTTTCCTCACCATATTCATGATGTTTCATTCCAAACACTTACCATAAACTCTCTAACGATTATTAGGAACATCCGGAAGGTATCGTAGAGAAAGTTCGGTGTTGGAATATTGAAGTTAATGAGTTAATCGTCGGAATCGTTGTTCATCGACATATCTGAAATCCTGGACAGCAACTATCCTTTGACTTCAGGTCCGATTTACGCTATCTTACATCTGTTAAATCGAAATACTTTCTATACGAAAGTTATAGCCTTACATCTTAGGAATCCATATAATCAAACGGTTTACAATTTCGTGAAGAAACGATGGAGATATGCCCAAAATACGGAAGGCTGTCCAGTTGTGACGGAAATGACAAAGTTGGCAAATTTCGATGTTGTTTCCACTCCCGCTCATTCGTAAGGTTTCAGCCTAAGATTTCAAGGTCTGTACCCTTGCGTTAGACTTGTCGAATCATTCATCACATACGTACATGAACATATATATTAATCCATATGTTGAAACCATCCCAAAATATATATGTGATGCATATATAAGTCATCTATATGTTGAGATCAAAATACACCAAATCCATAAAGTTAATATACACATAAGTAAATATAAACTTTGGAAATCAACCCAACAATATGTATACATTAATCAAAGGTGTTTAAAAGACTTAAAGAAGTATTTTAGACACTCAAAATATCAAGAGAAAGATTCGCAGACCCAAACGGTTGACACAAACGGTCGACCTTCATATTAAACTTCGAAACGGACCACTACTGTCAGCAAAACGGTCGACCGCCGTCGGCGAACGGTCGACCGTCGCCAGCCCAGCAGAACGCCGCCGTTCCAGCAAGTCAACAACGGTCAACCGCCAGTCAACCACGGTTGACCGTCACGGTGATGCAGAAATCTGACGAGTTGAAATATAGCACGGTCGACAGCCGTGCTAAACGGTCGACCGTTCTGAGCCCCGTAGCTTACTTAAATGATATTTTAATCATGTTTCACCCAAATAAATTAATGCATGATTATATATTCATATTGTTTGCAAATTGTTCATATCCTACCATTCATTTCATCATTCATATTGAAGCATATCACATCATATGCATGCGTAAGAGATCATGCCTCGTGCGTCTCTTATAGCATGATTGTGTGGGACTTAGAAGTCCGACATCACACGTTCGGGCTTAGTGTACGTACATGGTATTCAGGCTTTCGAGTACCACCCCCATTTTTCTAGTCTCACCTCATTCGTGAGACTAAGTGTAACACCCTAATCCGTCCAGGTCTGCAGCCCCATTCGGACTAAAGTATTTAACTTAGTAATCGTAAAAATTTAAAACTTTTCAAACACACTTTATTAATCCCAATAATATTTTTCAATACATATACAATACGGAGTATTCAACAATATTGCGGAAGCGATTTTAATATTGACATATCATAAATTGTTTCAAAACTTGTCACATCCATCCCGACAATCTCGCCCCATCTGCCGCCAGGATCACATTCTACTTTCTGCTTACCTGCATGTAGCAAATAAAACAAACTACACGCTCAGCGGTAAAGCTGAGTAAGCATATCTAATGCGTCGAACATCCATATAAACTGAATCTAAATTCATAATCAAATCATTTGATATCATGCACACAATGTTCATTTCAGACATTCACAGTTTTGGTATTGTTCAGTTCATATCAATACATTTTATTCAATTCAGATACTATTTCAATAGTGCTCTTAAATTATTCTTAATCTAAGGCCAGATTATAACAATGCTCTTAGCTATTCTTAGTCTAAGGCCAGATCATAATAATGCTCTTAGCTATTCTTAGTCTAAGGCTAGATCATAATTTCTATAACCAGATTCTTAAAAGGCAATCATTAATCAGACACTTAAACTATCATTAGTTTAAGGCAATCGATTTCGGACACTTAACTGTAGTCAGTTAAGGCAACAACAATATAGCGATTGATGAACATTAGATCGGGCATTCCCAAACGAGTGATCCTCTAGTTTGGTCTATAAATCCCATTTATACGTTTTTATCTAATTCATCAAATGTTCATGTTTTCATAAGCCTGTTCTAATACAAGATCTATTCTAGAGGTCTTCTAGATATATCCTCGAGCCCTTGTAGCACTTAAGGATCTTCACAGAGTATCATCCTTGGGTTGGACTCTTTGAATTGCTTCGTGTTTTAGAGCGTTGACTTGTTCCTGAGCGAACAGGTTGATTTTGGACAGAAGTAACTAAATATGATTCAGGGTTAGAGGGACATTCTCTTCGGAAATGTCCAGGTTCACCACAAATTAGACATAATACTTGTGCAAGCCAGCAATCTCCCGGATGGTGTCTTTTACAAACATTACACTTTGGATGTTTCCATACCCTCATTTTGTTCATGGATGACGTCGATTGAATTGTCATTGATTTTCCCTTTTTCGAGTGAATGGCACAATCAATTTCTTGCAGGGGTCTCTTCCCATTTGAATTTGGTCGTTTATTTGGATTGACATTCTTATTCTTCAGACTTTCATAGTAATCACTTAGATCTTTTTCGGCTTTGGAGATTAGATCGTATGCCTCAATGAAATCCATAGTTTGAATAGTAGATACGTGCGGCCTGAGGTCAGGTCGAAGTCTTTTGCGAAACTCCTCAATGCGGTCCGCCGTTGTACTCACCAGCATGGGTGCCAATTGAGCGAGATGGACAAATCTTTGTCGGTATTCAGGGAGTGTCATATCTCTTTGCTTTAATTCGATAAATTCAGCACGTTTCTCTTCACGAAATTGAGCTGGTATATATTCCTTGAACGCCCAATCGAAGAATTCCCAAGTCCAAGGTTTGGGTGTGTTTGGATTTTCATCAGTACGTTTCCACCATTCGTAGGCTTCCTTGCGGAGCAATTGAGATGCAAATTTTGGATGATCAACGAGAGGTATGTTCAAATTTTGTAGTACACGAGCGGTCTGCTCGATCCATTCAAGAGCAATTTGGGGTTCGGCAATTCGATCTCCCAGAAACTCCTCAGCACCATTATCTTTCAAGGTTTTGAAAGTGGTCA